GGCCAGCCTGGAGTCCTCGGGGCTCTGCGCTGCCCATGTTCCTGCCCCTCTCCTTATCCCAACCCCAGTCCCCATTCCAAGGGGACCTCTGGAGGGGGTCCCCCCTTAGCGCCTGCTCCGTCACCGACGCCCCGGCCTGCAGGGCTTTGAAAGCAGTTCCCTGTGGCTGGCATTCTCGGACGCCCCTCCTGTGAGTCCAGGAGAGCAGGGCCTTGACCGACCGACCGACCAACAGCCCAGCACGCGCCTCGGGCCTCGCCTGTGTCTAGAACCGGACACGGGGCTCAGCGAATACTTCCTGAACACTGGGAAGGAGCCGGCCGAAGAAGCGGCTCGTTCAGACCTAACCGGTGTGGTTCAGTGGGTAGAGCGTCGGCCTGTGTACTGAAGGGTCCCGGGTTCGATTCCGGTCAGGGGCATGTACCTTGGTTGCTGGCACATCCCCAAGTGGGGGGCATGCAGAAGGCAGCTAATCGACGTTTCTCTCTCATCAATGTTTCTAACTCTATCCTTCTCTCTTCCTCTGTAAAAAATCAATTTAAAAAAAAATTTTTAAGAAGAAAAAAAGGGCTCATTCCCATGCAATCCATAGCACACCTGCCTCAGTCTCCACATTTCCTCCCGGCAGATCTCAGGGTCTTTCTCTGTGACGCCACTTTCATGTCTCTATGTTTTTGGTGTCTCTGAGACGTCTCACTTCTGATCTGTGCATTTTTTAAAAAATTATATACTTTTCTTTTTTCATTTCAGAGAGGAAGGGAGAGGGGGAGAGAGCTAGAAATGTCCATGATGAGAAAGAATCATGGATCAGTGGCCTCCTGCACACCCCACACTGGGGAATGAGCCGGCAACCTGGTCATGTGCCCTGACCTCCTGGTTCATAGGTCAACACTCAACCACTGAGCCATACCAGCCAGGCTGATTTGTGCATCTTTGTGTCCGTCTCTCCTCTCCCTTTCTCTACCCTCTCTGAATCACTTTCCTTTTTTCTCTGTGTCTCGGTGACTCACTGAGTTTGGGTCTCTCATCCTCACCCTCCTTCCCCATCTCCCCCCTCCCTACCCATCCCTACCTCTTTCTTTTAAAAATATATATATTTTTATTTTTTACAGAGAGGAAGGGAGAGGGATAGAAAGTTAGATACATCGATCAGCTGCCTCCTGCACACCTCCCCACTGGGGATGTGCCCACAACCAAGGCACATGCCCCTGACCAGAATCAAACCTGGAACCCTCCAGTCCGCAGGCTCACGCTGTACCCACTGAGCCACACTGGTTAGGGCTGCCCCACCTCTTTCTTTCTTTCTTTTTTTAAAAAATATTTTATTGACTTTTTTTTTTACAGAGATGAAGGAAGAGGGAGAGTCAGAAACATCGATGAGAGAGAAGCATCCATCAGCTGCCTCCTGCACACCTCCTACTGGGGACGTGCTTGCAACCAAGGCACATGCCCTTGACCAGAATCGAACCTGGGACCCTTGAGTCCGCAGGCCGACGCTCTATCCACTGAGCCACACCGGTTAGGGCTCCTCCACCTCTTTCTTGCTCTCTGGCCTTTGGGCCCTGAAGTCCACTACCCCCAACCAGCTCTGCCCCCTCTCCCACCAAACTTGTCTTGAAACCCATCTCCCCCTGCCCTCCTTCTCCTGCTCCCCTCCCTTTCAGGGGTGGGGAACCTTTTTCCTGCCAAGGGACTTCTGGGTAGTTATAACATCATCCCCTTAATAGAATTCACTGAATGCATTCATGTTGCTATGAACAGGGCGCTTGGATTTATTGAATTTCAAACCCCACCTGCAGTTGCCTTGGCAGGGCCAGACCAAGTGATTTATGGGGCCTTATGCACCCGCAGGCCGGACGCCCCCACCCCTGCCCTACACCACGTCCTCCTGTCACACTAGTGTGTATTCCTCTCCCCCCCCCCCCCCGCCGCTTTCAGCGTGTCTGACGCTAACCCCACAGCTGGCCTGCCTGGGTCCCCACCCTCCAGTCTCTCTCCCTCTTCCCAGTCCTTCCACACAGGCCCCCGAGGGAGTCCCAGCACCCAGGCCTGGTCCTGCCCTCCCTCCTCTGCCCTACCCTTTTCTTTTATAAAATACACGGAGTGGCCAGATGATGATGATCTCTGAACACACAATCATCTGGCCACTCAGTGTATAGCCTGCCCTATAGAATAAAAGGCTAATATGCAAATTGTCCCCTCCATCAGGAGTTCAGTCAGCAGGCAAGTAGGTCAATTGCCATGTCCCCTCCCCCTGGCCAGGGTGTCCGGACCCCACCTATGCACGAATTCATGCACCGGGCCTCTAATATGTATGCATATTAGAGGCCCAGAGCACAAAATTTATGCATGGGGGGGGGGGGACGTCTCTCAGCCCTGCCTGCACCCTCTCCAATCTGGGACTCCACTGGGATCGGGCCTAAACGCGCAGTTGGACATCCCTCTCACAATCCAGGACTGCTGGCTCCCAGCTGCTCACCTGCCTGCCTTCCTGATTGCCACTAACTCCTTCTGCCTGATCACCCCCTAACCACTCCCCTGCTAGCCTGATTGATGCCTAACCACTCCCCTGCCAGCCTGATTGATACCTAACTGCTCCCAGCTGTTCACCTGCCAATCCTTTCCTGAAGGCTTGATCGCCCCCAACTGCCCTCTCTTGCAGGCCTGGTCCCTCCCAATTGCCCTCTCCTGCTGGCCTGATAGCCCACAACTGCCCTCCCTTGCAGGCCTGGCCCCTCCCAACTGCCCTCCCCTGCTGGCCATCTTGTGCCCACATGGAGACAGGGTCTTTGACCACATGGGGGCAGCCATCCTGTGTGTTGGAGTGATGGTCCATCTGCATATTACTCTTTCATTAGCTAGGATATATATACTGAGTGGCCAGATTATTATGCGTTGATAGATCACAATAATCTGGCCACTGAGTGTATATTTTTATTGATTTCAGAGAGGAAGGGAGAGAATCATGGATTGGCTGCCTCCTACACGCCCCCTCCTGGGGATCCTGTGGCAACACAGGCATGTGCCCTAACCTGATTGGAACCGTGACCTCCTGGTTCATAAGTTAAAGCTCAACCACTGAGCCCTGCTGGCTGGGCTGTCCCACCCTTTTCAGCTGCTCCATGTTACCCAGACAGAGGACAGGAGCCCCGAGGCCAGGCCAGGGCAGCGCAGGCCTGGTGACCTCAGCCCTCCCAGCATCTCAGAGCAGCAGGCCTGGCACTGGGAGACCTCGGGAAATATTTGCTGAGTCAATGAGAGGAGGCCACTAGTGACCTTCACACCCACTCTCCCGGCCCCACAGCCCTTGCCCAGCTCACCTGCCCTCCTGCCTCCCCCACCCCCCCACACACATACACACACACAGCACCCGCCACAGCCCAGGGTCCTCTCCCGGCACCCACACTGACCCTGCCTTCTGCCTGCTCTAAGCTCCCCCACATTTCCCCGCCACCCTGAGAACTACACCCCAACCCCGGAGCTCCTGGGGCTCTGCCTTCTGGCTGCTTCTCTGGGCTGACCTCACCCTCACCCCACCCCACCCCCACCTTGTCCTTCAGCATCCCCAAATTATGAACACTGTCCCCTGGCAGCATGCTGCGTCCGTCCTCCAGGACTCTGCCCCAGAGCCTTCCTCCCCTGCCAAACTCCTACTCATCCGATGGAGCCCCAGGAGGGGCGGGACCTTCCCCAGGAAGTCTCCCTACGTGCTGCCCCCTTCTGGCAGCTGGCCAGACCACATCCTCTTCCAAGGTACCAAATGGGGGTCCCTGTCAGTCACTGCAACAGTCTCCCATCCCGGATTGTGGTTTCTGACAGCCTCACGTTTTCACTCCCAAGATCAATGAGTGAATAGCCAAGTGAGTGGATGAATGAATGAATGAATGAATGAGTGAGTGAGTGAGTGAGTGAGTGAAGCGGATCCCCAAGTCCCAGCGCCTCTCCCGCACACCAGACCCTGCGCCTGGGCCTCGGGGAAAATGTGTGCAATTAACTGCTCTGCTCTCACGAGTGAGTGCCAGTTTGCAGAGCCAGCAGCTGCAGGCGTTTGATGCTGACTTCCAGCGTACCTCTGCCTCTCATCTCCGAGTTCCTGAGCCTCCCCTTTGTACACCATTCGCCTTGCTCTCCCTCTGAGAGAGCCATTCATGCCTCGGCTCCCTGCAGCCCTCAGAAGGAAATCTAAACTCCCGGCCTGACCTGCAAGTCCCCGGGAAGTCTGGCCCTGCCCGTGATGCCTCCCTCCAGCCGCATCTTCCTGTTCCGTCTGCTCGCGACACACGCTAGCCTTCCCTGGAAGCGCCCCCCCTGCCCCAGGACCTTTGCACGTGCTGTTCTCTGGCTGGAAACACTCCCCCTCGCTCCCCCAGCATCAGCTGGCTGCTTCTGTCATCTTCTCCGTGTATGCAAAACAGCCTTTCCTTTTAAACCGGTTCAGTCCCCCCCTGATGGAGCCTATTGTAGCATTTTTGGACCGTTCACCATCTAATTGCGATTTGCTGTTGGTGGACATCACCCCTGGATCAACGCACAAGCTGCTAACTCTATGAGGGTGCAGGGGACCGGTCCGTTTTCCTCCCTTCTGTAGGTAGGCTCGGCGTTCAGCACAAGGCCTAGCGCTTTGGCACACGAGAATAAATAGCTGGCAAGGACGGAACGAGTCGCTCTCCGTGCCTGTTTATACCCTTCAGGGCCCCGCCCTGGTACACAGCAGGTGCTTAATAAAGGCTGGTACACAGCAGGTGCTTAATAAAGGCTGGCGGGATCGTGCATGGAAAACGTCCACGTCCATGCCTCGTCACTCCGCCTCCCCGCGTCCCTTCTCGCTCCCTGTCTCTTTATAGAGAGCATAGATATCTATATGTATATATATAGTTTGTAGGTAGAACTATATATTTGTGTGTTACGGGCCCCTCTCCAGGAGTTGGGCTGGGCTGGGAGTCCCTCCCTCCCTCCCCCCCTCCGCCCCCACATGCACACAGCAAAACATGGAAAAAGAAAACATCTCAAAACTGCAAAAAAACACCACGGCCCCACCCACCCCACCCCCAATCCCACAACAAAAATAAAACACGACGCTCCCGCGCGCTCTCGTCCCCTTCCCTTCCCTTCCCGGCCCCCTCCCTTGGGGTCCCTGATCCGAGGATGCGGGGAGGCGATCCCCCACACCTGGGGGGAGGGGGCGCGGGGGGAAGGCCCAGAAGTCTCCAGCGCCCTCCCGGGGAAGGAGCGGGGCGCCCCGAACCCCGACCCCGACCCCCCCACCCCCCCCCGGCAGCCTCCTGTGCACGCGCGCCCGCGCACGCGCCCGGCGCCCCCGCCCCGCCCCGCGCCCCGCGCCCCCCGCGCGCCCCTACACCGGCGTGGTCTTCCTGTTGAGCGTGTTGGTGTTGGAGGCGGCGGCCTCCTTGGCCAGGGTCCCGGGGGCGGGCGCCGAGGGCGCGGGCGGCGCGGGCGCGGGCGCGGCGGGCGGCCCGGTGACCGTGACCGTGACGCCGCCCGCGCCGCCGCCCGCCTCCTTGGGGAAGGCGTTGTGCAGCGTGAGGAAGCCGGACGCCGGGCCCCCGCGGTCCCGATCGGCGCCCGCGCCCCCGGCCGCGCCGCCGCCGCCGCCGCCGCCCGCGCCGCCCGCGCCCCCGGCCGCGCCGCCCCCGAACGCGCCGCCGCCGCCGCCCGCGCCCGCCAGCCCCGCGGCCACGCTGCCCTTGGACGGGTCGCGGCTGAGCGTGTACATGGAGATGTCCGTGGAGGGGAAGCCGGGCGCGCCGGCGCCGCCCGGAGACGCGTCCCGCGACGGCGACGGCTCGCTGGAGCGGGAGCTGGAGCGGGAGCGGCGGCGGTAGCGGAAGCGGTAACTGGGCAGACGGAGGATGGCCGAGGGGCCGCTGCCGCCACTGCCGCCCGCGCCCCCGCCGGCCTTGAGCAGGTCCGAGCGCGACTGGCAGTGCGCCTCGCGGCTGCGCTCGATGTAGATGTTGACGGCCAGCACGCCGATCACCTCGGCCAGGATGAAGGACAGGCCGCCGAAGTAGAAGGACCAGCCGTACGAGTAGTGGTTCTTCTTCTCGTCGTCCCGCTTCGGGCCCGGCTCGCCCGCGTTCGCCGAGATGTACACGATGACGCCGATGATGTTGCTCAGGCCTGGGCGGGGGGACGGTCAGACGGGAGCCTCGAGGCCACCCCGGCCCGCCCCCGCCCCTAGTTCCCGCCCCCCACAGGCCTAAACTCCACCCCAGCTGGTTAGACCCTGCCCCCATGGAGCCTAGGATTCACCCCAAGTGGTCCAGACCTCAACACATCAGGTCTAACCCCACCCCTAGATGGCCTAAGTCCTACCCCCAGAGAGCCAGGCCCCGCCCCAGCTGGGCTAAACCCCACCCCCAGGTAATCTAAGGCCACGCCCTTAACGGTCTAGGTCCCCGCCCTAAGATGGCCTAGGCCCCTCCTCCCGGTAGCCGAGGCCCTGCCTCACGTGGTCCGCCTGGGTGGTCCAGGCCCTCCTCTGATGGGTCTAATATCTCCATCATTTTAATACACCTGGGTCTCCCCTAGACCCCACCCTCTGCTAGTTTGAACTCTTCATGGGGTAATCCCGCTCTGACTCTGGGCCCTGACCTTGGCTGATCTAAAAACTCTTCCTTTCAGGATTACCCTCCCAGGCCCTCCTCCCCTTGCTGGTCCTCCTCTGCTAGGCCCTCCTCCCCTTGCTGGTCTAAGTCCTCCTTCTTAGAGCAGATCCTTTTTCTGCTCCAGCCTCCAGACTGCCCGACGCCGCCGCTCCTCCTAGGCCTAGGCTCCTCCCCAGGCCCAGGTCAAGCAAGCCCTGCCCCAGGCCGATCTGGATCCATCCTCCCGAGCACCTGCTGTTCTTTGTGCTAAATCCTCCCCCTTCTCTGGGTTCCACCAGTTCAAGAAAGCTTCCCAGCACTTCACAGCACAACTCATTCGTGCAAAAAAGAAAGTCTTACCCTGGCCGGTGTGGCTCAGTGGATAGAGCACCGGCTTGAGGACTAAAGGGTCCCGGGTTCAATTCCGGTCAAGGGCACATGCCCGGCTTGTGGGCTCCATCCCCAGTGTGGGGCATGCAGGAGGCAGCCGATCCGTGATTCTCTCTCATCATGGATGTTTCTATTTCTCTCTTCCTCTCTCTTCCTCACTGAAATCAATTAAAATATAATAATTTAAAAAATTTTAAATAAAGGCAGTATAACTCCTTTATGCGATGCCTCCCTCAGAGCTGTCTGGAGGGTTTGCCAGGACCAGCCTCTTTCTGGATCCGCCCGGCTCCGCAAAGCTAACTTATCCTTTACAGCAAGCTCCTCCCCATCCACAGCCAGATCACTTTCTCCCTAGGCGGCTTGACCTTCCACCGCCCAGCCCTGATGCCCCTTCTCTTCCAGACCCCAGTTATGTCCCCCGGCCCCAGCGCCTCCCTTCCGCGGCCAGAGCCGGGGCTTCAGAACCTAAGCTCCCCGCATCCCTGTTCCGCGCCAGACACCACGAAGGCGGCACCCACCTTGCCCAGCGGGTGGCGATGGAGTTTGGAGGGAGCCTGGGTGTGCTCCGGGCCCCAGGGGGCGCTCGGACACACACACTCACACACACAAACACACACACACACACACACACACGTGGACACGGGGCTGGGCCGCCCCCTCCCCCCGCCTCTCACCTGCTGCCACGAACAGGATGCCCGCCCCCAGGACGATGTTCCTCTTGGACCTGTACACGCGGGAGGCTGCCACGCACACGCCCCCCAGCAGCAGCAGGATGGCGCTGAGGATGGGGAAGATGCTGGAGGCCCGGACCACTCCTGCGGGGGAGAGAGGAGAGGAGGGGGAGCGGAAGGGAGGGAGGGACGGAGGGAGTGAGCGCCAGGGCGGTGGGGGTGCGGCCGCTTGCAGCCCCCAACCCCCAACCCCAACCCACCCACCCTCTACACTGCGTTCTGGTTATTTCATTCATTCTCCTTTTTCAACATTTCTCTACTTCTCAGTCTGCTTTCCTCTTTTCCTTCCTTCCTTGGTCTAGTTTTCTCTCGCCTAGCTTTTTTTCTCCCCCCTCGTTCACTCTCCATCTCTTTCTCTGAGCTTCTCTCGTTCTCTGTGGACCCCTGCCTTTGTCTTTCCCTTCTCGCACGCTCCTCCCCCTTGCTACCTTATTTCTCTCTTTTCTCCAGATCCCTCTGTCTAACCTGTCCATAGCCCTCTGCCTCCTCTGCCTTCTGCCTGGCTCCGTCTCTCTGGGTTTTCTCTTTCCGTTTCTTTCTCTCTCCCTCTCCTTTCCTTCCTCCCCCAACCTCTACACCGGGCTTCATCACCTCTCTCTCTCTCTCTCTCTCTCTCTCTCTCTCTCTCTCTCTCTCTCTCTCTCTTCTCTCTCCCTCCCTCTTCTCTGCCACCCCTTTCTGTCTGGCTCCACTTACAGCTCTGGGGTTCTCCTCTTTCTCTCTCCCTCTCTCTCTCTGCAGTCCTTTCCACCCACCACAAACCCTAGGCAAACAGATTTTGCTATTTCTGAGCGGGAAGCCATAGCCAATCACAATTCAGGATTTGCCGCGTTCTCAGGGCGGCTACCAATTGCAGCCCAGGCTCACCCAGGCCAGTCTGCGCCCGTAGTCGGCTTCACAGCAGCCAATCCCAGCCCAGAGAGCCACAGCGCGGCGGCCAATCACCTCCCGGGATCTCCTCTCAGCCCGCCCCAAGGTGAGAGGAGGGGGCGGGGAAGGGACCGCTGGGCTAATCCGGGACCAGAAGATCTCAGTGTCTGGCCTTGGGTTCGCTAGCAGGCTCGTCTCAGCCTGTCGATCTAACTGCCGGCCCCGCCTCCTCCCCGTCTCTTCCCCCCCACACACACACACACACACACACAGCCCCGCAAATTTGTCCGGGACCCCAACATACGGAGCAGATACTCCGCGCTGTCATGGTCGTAGTCAGTGTCCTCCGGGAAATGGTTGATCTTCACGCAGACACCTCTTTTCAGCCCTAGAGGGGGACGGAAGTGGTGATGTGGGGGGATTAAAGAGTTGGGGAGCCCCACTGTGAGAGAAGACTCACTGCTTCCTCTCTCTCTCTCTCTCTCTCTCTCTCTCTCTCTCTCTCTCTCTCTCTCTCTAAACTCCTGGCTCCTGAACCTTTCCCGGCATCTGGAACAAACTGTCAACCTCTCTGGCCTCATTATCTGCACTAGTATTTGTACTTAATAAAGAAAAAAGAAACACACACACACACACACACACACACACACACACACACACAATCCAAAACACACACACACACACACACACACACACAATCCAAAACTCACTGAAAGGCCACAGGACCCCAGCCCTGAACCCTGGGCTGAGACACCAGCCTCCCTGGCCTTCTGTTTCCCTCTGGTTTCAGCAATGCCATTTGCTGAACTTGAGGAATCTGCAAATGCGTGAGAAAACGAAGCCGGCTGCAGAGGGGCAAAGGAGACTACGTTTCCCATAAGGCCCTACGAAGTCCTGAGTCCAATGGTGGGGGAGAGTAGCCCCGCTGACTCATGAGAGTTGTAGTCTCTTCATTCCTGCGCTGAAGGAGAGGGATTGCCTGCGCCTTTCCTGGAATCCGCTGGAAGCGGGTGGAGTGATCGGAGCCAACAGAGGCACGTGAAGGGTTAATACCTCTAGCGGTCACTCAGCCTTACCCCCTTCGTCCACCCCAGAATGCTGTCTTCAGATCCTGGACCTCACACCCTTGAGGAACCTAACATCCCGTATTTGAGGACAGTTCCCGTCCTAGCACATATATGGAGACGCGTATGTAAATTAGCACAAATATAAATACACTTTGTCTCGATGTTCCACCTCCTTCCGAACTCCAGGCTGTGAAAACAGTCCACTCACGGATGGAAACTTACCCTGCAAGTGGGCAGCTCAGGGGCGCCTCCCGGAGGAAGCGGTCCCTGGGCTGCGCGTGCGCACATGCATTGCCTCCTCCCCCCAACTCAGGTTGGGTCCAGTTTTTCCTCTGGGGAGCAGCGGCCTCCTGTGCTACCACCCCCTTTCTGGCAAGCATCGGGATGACTTATGAGTTTCTTCTTGGGGTCTGATTCCTAACATCTCCTGTGTGTCTCTATCATTACCTAGTAAAGGGAGGCCTCATGGAAAAAAAGACTACATTTCCCATAAGGCCATTCAATCCATGGGTGTCGAATGAATGAATGAAGAACAAATGAATGAAGAATGAATGAATGAATGAATGAATTATAGCAGAAGGCGAGATTCGAAGCAGAAGATGAACGGAAGGAATGGGGATAAAGACAAGGACTGGCCCTAACCAGTTTGGCTCAGTGGATAGAGCCTTGGCCTGTGGACTCAAGGGTCCCAGGTTCAATTCCGGTCAAGGGCATGTACCTTGGTTGCGGGCACATCCCCAGTAGGGGGTGTGCAGGAGGCAGCTGTTTCTAACTCTTTATTCCTCTCCTCCCTTCCTCTCTGTAAAAAAACAATAAAATATATATCTTTTTAAAAGACAAGGACTGGGAGGGAGGACTATAAGGCAATAATTCCGCTAAGAGCTAATATTGTTAAGTGGTGGATGGACTCATTGGCGCCATGAAATAGATAATGTTATTATCAGGGTCCCGTGAAGTAGATAATGTTATTGGTGTCATGCAGCGGCCAGTCGTTGGGAATCAGAGTCCCACTGCTTGATAGTGAAGCCCGATTCTGTCACGTCCTTAGCCGGTGACCTTGCTGGTGTTACGTAGGCCAGTTTCCTTGAGCTCCTGGGCAGATGAGAAGGGGGATATAAGACCTACCTCCAGGGGTTGCGAGGATTTAATTCAGGTAGAGATTTGGCGCGTTGCCTGAGTCACACACAATGAAGTGCTCAGTCATGATCGGCTGACATGCCCATTGTCCAGATGAGGAAACAGAGGCACAGAAAGAACTCCTCAGTTCACAGCTGATGGGCGGTGGGAACAGAGCCAAACACACAGCCGTTTGCCTTACGGGAAGGTTCACCTCTCTCTCTCCACCACCTGCCTCGCGCATAGTAAGTGCCTGGTGAATATTTTCATGACAGAATGATTGAACGGGCCAACGGGCACCTGAAAAGGTCCTCAGCATCACTAATCATTAGGAAAATGTGGATCAAAACCACAATGAGATGCCACCTCATACCCATTACCCTTTAGAACAGTGACTGGGGAAAACACACACACACACACACACACATACACACACACACACAGGAGTCGGCAAGGATGTGGACAGACTGGGACCCCTGTTGGTGGGAATGTAAAATGGTGGAGTTGTTGCTGAAACCGGTTTGGCTCCGTGGATAGAGCCTCAGCCTGAGGACTGAAGGGTCCCAGGTTCGATTCCAGTCAAGGGCATGTACCTTGGTTGCGGGCACATCCTCAGTCGGGAGTATGCAAGAGGCAGCTGATTAATAATTCCCTCTCATCAATGTTTCTAACTCTCTGTCCCTCTCCCTTCCTCTCTGTAAAAAGTCAATAAAAAATATATATTTAAAAAAAACCTGAATATAAAGTTAAAAAAAAAAAATGAAGACTAGCCCTGGCCGGTGGCTTGGTTGATTAAAGCATCAACCTGACACACTAAGGTGGTATCCCGGTCAGGGCACATACTAGAATCAACCCATGGGTGGGTGGATGAGTGGGGCAACACATCGATGTTTCTCTCTTTCTCCTCTCTCTCCTTTCTTTCTCCCCTCTCTCTCTCTATAAAATCAATCAATACATTTTAAAAGTGTCAAGTGACAATAATAGTAACAATAAAGCTAGCCTGCATGTACCTCCCTACCCTCCCCCAATAGAACACTTAAGTCCAGCCTTTGGCTGTCAGAACACCCACTTACTTCATTTCCCCCAACCTCTGTGCTCACTCCTTCCTTATCTCCTTTCCTGGCTTCTTGGTGTCTCTCTGATTACTTTCTTTTCTTTCTGTTTCTTCTTCTTCTTTTTTTTTTTTTTAATAGGTTTTTATTGATTTGAAAGGGAGAGGGAGAGGGAGAGAGAAACATCAGCTGGCTGCCTCCTGCATGCCCCCTGCTGGGGATCAAGCCTGCAACCCAGGCCACATGGACCAGGGCTCTGATTGCCTTTTTAAAAAATATTTTTTATTGATATTAATTTTTTATTTTTGTTGCAGAGAGGAAGGGAGATGGATAGAGAGTTAGAAACATTGATGAGAGCCGTGGCATAGTGGTTGGCAAACTCATTAGTCAAGTATCAACCTGAGCCAAACAGAGCCAAATATCAACAGTACAATGATTAGCCGAAACCGGTTTGGCTCAGTGGATAGAGCATTAGCCTGTGGACTGAAAGATCCCGGGTTCGATTCCGGTCAAGGGCATGTACCTTGGTTGCGGGCACATCCCTAGGGTGTGCAGGAGGCAGCTGATCAATGATTTTTTAAAAATATATGTTATTGATTTTGTACAGAGAGGAAGGGGGAGAGATAGAGAGTGAGGAACATCGATGAGAGTCATCGATCAGCTGTCCCTTCCTTTCCCTTCCTCTCTGAGATCAATAAAAAAATACATTTTTTAAAAAGATTACTTGTTAAAAAAGAAAGGAAGGAAGGAAGGAAGGAAGGAAGGAAGGAAGGAAGGAAGGAAGGAAGGAAGGAAGGAAGGAAGAAAGAAAGAAAGAAAGAAAGAAAGAAAGAAAGAAAGAAAGAAAGAAACATTGATCAGCTGCCTCTTGCACACTTCCTACTGGGGATGTGCCGATAACCAAGGTACATGCCCTTGACTGGAATCGAACCTGGGACCCTTGAGTCTGCAGACTGACACTCCACCTCTGAGCCAAACCGGCTAGGGCTAATCAATGACTCTTTTTTTTTTTTTTTTATGATCAATGACTCTTATCATTGATGTTTCTATCTCCTTCTCTCTTCCTCTCTGAAATCAATTTTTTTTTAATTTTCTTTTAAATAACAGTTTCTGACAGCCCTGACTAGGTAGGTAACTCAGTTGGTTATAGTGTCTTCCCAATATGAGAAGGTTACGGGTTCGATTCTGTCAGGACACATACAGGAATCAGCCAATCCTATATTATAAAAGGCTGATATGAAAATTGATCCAACAGTGGAATGACAGGTCGCTGTGATGTGCACTGATCACCATGGGACAGACACTCCATGCCAGAGCTGCCCCCTGGTGGTCAGTGTGCTCCCACAGGAGGAGCACTGCTCAGCCAGAAGCCCGGCTCATGGCTGTTGAGCACAGTGGTGGTGGAGCAGGCCTAAGCCATCTTCCGCCAAGGGTTCCTGGACTGCGAGAAGGCATAGGCTGGGCTGAGGGACACCCCCCCACCACCACCACCAGTGCACAAATTTCATGCACCGGGCCTCTAAGTGAATACATAAATAAGTGGAACAACAAAGGGATGTCTCTCCCCCTTCCTCTCTCTAAAATAAGTAAGCAAATAAATAAATAAATATTACTTTTTATCTTTAAAAAAAAAAAAAAAAGAATAGTTCCTGGCATATAGTACAAACTCAATAAATACCAGTGGTTGAATGAATGAATGAATGAATGGTGTTCTTATTCTATCCCCTACGTTGTCCTAGAGGTTTCGGGATGCGAGACCGCCTGCTTGGCTCTGTGCCTGCTGCTCCGTCAGACCAGTGAGTGAACCTGAGGTCCCATGCCCACAGGAGGAAGTTACTGAGGAGAGCTGGGCGGGGTGTGAGGCGATAGGGAATGGAGGCGACTGTGGCAAAACAGACACACACACACACACACACACACACACACACACTCACACACACCTGCCTAGGTCTCAGCCAAAGAAACAGCTGCCACTCAGACCCGCCCCATCGTGGCCCCCGGCAGACAGACCCCCGTGTCCTCAGTCTTCAAAAGAAGCCGGAAACTGGGTTTTCGATGCAAAACCTCCCTGGTTTTAAATGTTGGCGACCGACTCCCCGATCCAGACTTTGGTTTCCAGACGTTTTGAACACCCCCCCCCCCCCCCCCCGTGCCGAACCACGCGTCTATCTGCGAACCCCACCCCTGAGGCTTTGAGTTCTCCAGGCTCTGCCCCACCTGCGACTGGGTGACCTCGGGCGAGTGACTTAACCTCTCTGAGCCTCAGTGTCCTCATTCCTGACGGGAGGGCGGCGCCCAGCTCATAGGACGGAACCAGGTGACGGTATTCCCAACTGCTCACCCCGAGTGCCCAGCCCGAGGGGGAAAGGGTGGAGGACAGAAAGGGATGGAAAAGAGGAGAGGAGGAATCGCATGGGGAGCTATGAGCTAGGCTGGCCCCACGGCTGCAGCCCCAAAGTGGGAAGATAGTCCCAGGGGGGACAGGTGCAGAGGGACCTCTAGGAGGGCGGGCTGGGAAGGAAGGGAGGGAGGAAGGGAGGGCGGGCTGGGAAGGAAGGGAGGGAGGGAGGGAGGGAGGGCGGGAGGGAGGGAGAGAGGGAGGGCGGGCAGGACCCAGGCGGGATCAGAGATGGAGATGAGAGGCGGTGGGTGGGCTGGAAGAGCAGTGAGGTCTGGGAGGAGGGAGAAGAGGAGGTAGGCTTGAGGGGGGGGGACAATGAAACAGCCATGGGGAGGATGGGGAGGGCCAGGACCCGGTGGGAGGCTGCAAGAAACCCAGGTGGGGAGAGGCAGGCAGGAGAGGAGGAGCCCACCGGCATGGCTCAGTGGTTGAGCATCGACCTATGAACCAGGAGGTCACGCCACCGTTCGGTTCCCGGTCGGACTCCTGCCTGGGTTGCAGGTGTGGGGTGTGCAGGAGGCAGCCCATCAGTGATTCTCTCTCATCATTGATGTTTCTATCTCTCTCTCCCTTCCTCTCTCTGAAATCAAAAACTTAAAAAATAAATTAAAATTAAAAGAGCCGTAGCTGATGTGGCTCAGTGGATAGAGCATCAGCCTGAGGACTGAAGGGTCCCAGGTTCGATTCCTGCTCAGGGCACATGCCTGGCCTGTGGGCTCAATGCCCAGTAAAGGGCGCGCAGGAAGCCGCCCATCAATGATTCTCTCTCATCATTAATGTTTCTCTCTCTCTCTCCCTTCCTCTCTAAAAATCAATAAAAAGCCTGCAGACTCAAGGGCCCCAGGTTCCGATTATGGTCAAGGGCATGCACCTTGGTTGCGGGCACATCCCCAGTGGGGGGTGCACAGGAGGCAGCTGATGGATGTTTCTGACTCTCTATCCCTCTCCCTTCCTCTCCGTAAAAAGTCAATAAAATATATATTTTTAAAAAATAATAATAAAATAAAAAAGAGGAAAAGTGACAGGCGAGATCAGCAGGTGCTGAAGGGGAGAAAGAGCCCAAGTGAGGGAAGAGATGGAGGAGAGGGGCAGGAGCCGGGAGAGAGAAGACGCTGAGGGTTCAGAGGGGTGCAGAGGAGCTGGAAGGCGGGAGGGGAAGGCCTAGCAGCGCGGGGACCAGCCGCGCATGTGCGGGGAGGCAGGACCACCCACGGAGACCACCCACGGAGACAGGACCACGAGGGGGTCCCGGGCCGGGGACGGGTTTGGGGGGTGGGGTCCAGGGGCTTGGGGCGGGGCTGGGGGTTGTCCCAGGGCGCGGGTCGGGGCGCGGGGGGGGGTCCCGGGCCGGGGCGGGGCTCTGGGGCGGGTCCCCGGACCTGGGGGGGCGAGTGGGGGAGGGGGGCAGGCTGGGGGGAGTCCTGGGCCGGGGGCGGGGCTCGGGGGCGGTCCCAGGCCGGGGGCGGGCTCCGGGGTGGGGGTCCCAGGTCCGGGGCGGGCTGGGGAGTCCCCGAGCCGGGCTGGGGGGTCCCGGGCCGGGGCGGGGTTGGGGGGGGGGTGTCTCAGGGCGCGGGGCGGGGCTCGGGAGGCGGTCCGGGGCCGGGGTCGGGCTGGGGGTCCCGGTCCAGGGCCGGGCTGGGGGGGGGGGGGGGGGGGGATCCCGGGCCGGGGCCGGGCTGGGGGTCCCGGGCCCGGGCTGGGGGTCCCGGGCGGCCCTACCTTCCAGGCAGCAGATGCGCCAGAGGCCGGAGTGCGTGAGGCCGCCGGGGTCGCGGCGCTCGGCGGCCCCGCGGTGCGGCGGGCCCTCGTCGGCCGTGAGGTTGGTGGTGTTGCAGATGAAGGCGCGCGTGTACAGCCAGTAGTCCGTGCTGATGGCGATGGTCATGAGGCCGAAGGCGGCGAAGGCGCCCACCGTGGTCACCAGCACCTGCACGCCCTTCTCGCACCACAGCCCCCGCTCCTCGTTCCAGCGCTTCAGCGACTCCAGCCTGACCGCCGGCAGCCGGGCGGCCGCGGGCCACCAGCGGGGCAGCGCGGGCGGCGCCGTGCCGGCGGCGGGCGGGCTCAGCGGGCGAACGGGCGGCCGGGCCCGGGGGCCTGGGGGGCGGGGGCGGCGGCGAGGACGAGGCTGGGCCCGAGGGGTCAGAGGGCGGCCATGGTCAGCAGCTGGGGAGAGCAGGGAGCGAGAGAGGAAAAATTAGGGGGCGCCAGGACCTCCCCAGCCCCCCCATCCGAGGACCCTTCGCCCCCAAAACAGCCCCACCAGGTCCCCCGTTGGGACAGACTCCTTCCATGGCCTTCCTGGCTGTGAGGAAACGGGGATCTGCCAGGGGGAAGCCGTCCCACTGCCCTGGCCTGTGTGGCTCAGTGGGGAGAGCCTCGGCCTGCGGGCTGAAGGGTCCCGGGTTCGATCCCCGCCAAGGGCACAGGCCTCGCTAGCAGTCCCTGGTCACAGGGGCGCCTGCAGGAGGCAACCCAACCCGCCCATGTGTTTCTCTCACATCCAAATGTTTGTCTGTCTTTCTCTCTCTCTCTTCCACGCTCTCTCTCTAAAATCCTGGGGTGAGGATTTTAAAAATAAAAATAAAAAAGCAGCTGAAACCGGTTTGGCTCAGTGGCTAGAGCGTCGGCCTGTGGACTGAAAGGTCCCGGGTTCGATTCCAGTCAAGGGCATGGACCTTGGTTGCGGGCACATCCCCAGTGGGGAGTGTACAGGAGGCAGCTGACGGATGTTTCTCTTTGGTCAATGTTTCTGGCTCTCTGTTCCTCTCCCTCTCTGTAAAAAATCAATAAAATCTATTTTAAAAATTAAAAAATAAATAAAAAAGCAAGTCTTCCCACCAATCCCACCGAGGAAGTGCCCCACCCCCTGACACCAGGACACACACCCCCTCACTGTCCTCTTGGGGAGAGGCATCCCTCACCCCAGCCCCGGGGCCTCCTCACCCCAAGGAACCCCGTCCTCTTCCTCCATCCCTCCTAGACCCCAGCACCATCCTTCCTCTCAACAGCTACGTCCTCTCTTCCCCGCAGTCCAGCCTCTTCCACTCAAGAAACATAAAGCTCGCCCTAACCGGTGTGGCTCAGTGGATAGAGCCTCGGCCTGCGGACTGAAGGGTCCCAGGTTCGATTCCGGGCAAGGGCATGTACCTTGGTTGCCCGCACATCCCCAGTAGGGTGTGTGCAGGAGGCAGCTGATGGAGGTGTCTCTCTCATGGAAGTTTCTAACGCTCTATCCCTCTCCCTTCCTCTCTGTAAAAAAAAAAAAAAAAAAAAAAAAAAAAAAAAAAATCAATAAAATATATATTTTTTTTTTAAAAAAAAGGAAAGAAACATAAACCTCTCAAGCTGTTCTCGGCTTCCAACAAGTCTCCCCAACGAACTCTCGCTGTCCGCGCGACTCAGAAGAATCTCGCGAGGCCAAGAACAGCTGCTCCTCCTCCTCCTGGGAACCCCTTCCCCACGCAGACTCCCCTTCTCTGTGGGCCCAGGTTTCCAGCCTCTGGCGATGCACCCACCCCGGGAAGGTCCCCAGAGCGCCCCTGAGAACCGGCACCGGGTCCCACCGGGGAGATGGGGTTCTGCTGGTCGGCGCCGGGTAGGCCGAGCGTCTCAGCCCTCTGAGCTCCCGGGTTCTGATGGGCAGCCAGCACCCCCTGAACTCCGTCTCCACCCCATCCCTCTCTGCAGCTCCTGCTGTGTCCCTGGCCCCCCGCCATCCCTAACTATGACTTTGACTCAAGAAAAGAAAAAAAACAACAAGCAAAAAACACTCTTTCCTTGGCTTAAAGAAGTCTTTCCAGCCCTGACCGGTGTGGCTCAGTGGACAGAGCATGGGGCCTGTGGACTAAAGGGTCCTGGGTTCCATTCCGGTCAAGGGCATGTACCTTGGTTGCGGGCACATCCTCAGTGGGGGGTGTGCAGGAGGCGGCTGATGGATGTTTCTAACTCTCTGTCCCTCTCCCTTCCTCTCTGTAGAAAGTTAATAAAATATGTTTTGTTTTAATTAAAAGAAAGGAAGAAAGAAAGAAAGAAAGAAAGAAAGAAAGAAAGAAAGAAAGAAAGAAAGAAAGAAAGAAGTCTTTGGAGCCTGGCCTAGCTCCGTGGTTGAACCTACGAACCAGGAGGTCACGGCTGGATTCCCGGTCAGGGCACAGGCCCGGGGTGTGGGCTTGGTCCCCAGCGTGGGGCGTGTGGGAGGCAGCCGGTCCATGATGCTCTCTCATCGTGGACGTTTCTGTCTTCCTCTCCCTTCCTCTCTGAAATGAACGTTTTAAATATACATATATATTTTTTAAAGTCTTCGAAATCCGGCCCCCACCACCTCTACAACTTAGACAAACTCCTCTCCGCCATCGCACTCTCCTCCGTTAAGAAAAATTTCCCCCTCGGGCTCCACAGCGTGTCCCACTCCCCGGAGTCCCTTCCCCGCCGGACCCCGATTCCTCCTCCTTCAGGACTCCCAGGCTCCGACCTGCAGGCCCACCGCTGTCCAAGGAGGGGCCCGCCCCACCCCGACTCCATGGCCCGGCCCTCCCACCCCCTCCCACCACCTCCAACCGCCCCCCCCCTAGGGCAGCCCTTGTTATCACAACACACAAGATGAACCCCCACCTCTGATCGCCCCAGCTCCCCTGGACTTCCCCCTCCCTCCAGTTCCCAGAACCTTCCCCACCCTCCGCCTTCCTCTTACATCAGGAGGAGTCTCCCTCCTTCCCTCGGGCCCTCTTCTCCCACCCACTCTCCTCCCAGCATCTCCTCTGCTCAGGGAACCCCCTCGGTGTGTCCCTCCGGACTTCCCTTCCTGGGGAACCCCCCAGAACTCCCCGGAACCCCGCTACGTGTCACCTGTGAGGACCTTACACGCACACGCCTTTCCCCCCCTCTATGGACAGCGCCCCTGAGAAGAATCCCACGTACAGGATCCCAGCTCTCCTTCAGCTGGGAAGGATGTCCCCCTTGCCGCCCCCCACCCCCAGGGTCCCCCCACCACGCCCCCAGCCCTGCCTCCTCCACCTCGCCCGGTCCTCCCAGCGCCCGTACCTGCCTCCACCTCTCCCTCTTCCCCAGACTCCCCCCCTTCCCAGACCCTGGGGGCCACCGAGGAGGGGGAGCCACACTGGGTCCCAGGACCCGCTGACCTTGGCCTCCGCCCGCCCCCATCAGCTGGCCCCCCGCCGGTTCTGCGCCCAGGGGTTGCTGAGAAAGGTTGTCTATGGGGGGGGGGGGGGTGTCCATGGCAACGGGGCCCAGTGACCCACACACACGTGGTCCCTCCCCCTCCCCGGCTCCTGCCTGCCTGCCCACACGCAGCCCCTGGCTGGCCCATTCATGGGGCTCCGGGCTCGGACACCCCCTGTTTCCCCCCTGCCCCCCCATCCCCCCTGTCCCAGGCACTGCCCCTGCCTCCCCTTCACCTCCCCTCCAGGCACCTGCCCGGCTGCCTGGGCCTCATCTCCCCCATCCAGGCCCGGCACCCCGGCACTGCCACCTCCACTGCCCAGGCACCTTTCTGCTCCCGCCTGGGGGAGCCTGTGGCCCCAGAAGGCGCCCCCTCCTCCTGCTGGGCCCCCTACAACCCGGGACATGGAGGGGAGGGGAACAGGGTCCACGAGGGGCATTCTCTGTCCCCCAAAAAGATCTGAGACATTTCCTTGTACTGATTGGGGGGGGGGGGGATCTGTTTGGCCGGAGGGACTGTTCTCTCAGTCCATCTGTCAGGGCCCCCATCCTAAAGCTCCCGCATATGACAGGGGCTGTACCCCCTCTCTCCCTCCTCGGAGGGAACCGGCTCCTTCCTCCAGAACTGGGGGGCCCTGGGGGAAGGGGGATCGCAGAACCTGCCTTCCACAGCCACCCACCTCCGACGAAGAGCAGAATCAGGCTCACCTCGGTCAGCGACAGGTCAACTCGCCGGAGGAGCCCGGAGCACGGAGGAGGGGACGCGCTGAGCCCCGTCCTGTGGGCACCCCCCTTTCAGAGGCACCCCCGTGCTCCCCAGTGCTCACGGCTCACCCTCCTCCCCCAGCAGCCGGGGACCCAGGCGTCCGACCCAGCCGGGGGTGACAAGGAGGGGGCGTAGGGGCAAAGGGGGTGCTGAGGTGGGGAGCGGAGGCTGAGGGACAGCTCTGAGCTCTCGGGGGGGCCCAGGCAGGGGTGATGGTGGGGGTTCGAGATGTGGTGGGGGGGATGGGGAAAAGGTGAGGAAGAGACAATTTGGTTCTCGTGTGTGTGTCGCTGGGTAAAGTGCGGAGCTGGAGGACGACGAGAGAGGGAGGGAGGAGGGAGCAGAGGGAGGGGGGCCGCTGAGGATGGGGGAGCCGGGAGAGGAGGTGGGGGAGGGATCGAGTTGGGGGGGCACAGGGTCTGGGTGGCAGAAGGAAGCTGGGGGGAAAGAGAGAGAGAGAGACCTGGAGAGAGAGAGAGCGAGAGAGAGGGAGCGAGAGAAGAGGAGAGAAGCGGCAAGAGAGAGACTTGGAGATGGGGGAACGGGGATGGGGGAGGGAGAGATTTGGGGGAGGCAGCGGCTGGTGGCAGAAGGAAGTTGGAGACACACACACACACACACACACACACACACACAGAGAAATATCCAGAGAAAGAAGGGGACTGAGAGACAGAGACCCAAAGAGGGGGAACCAAAGAGATGGGGGAAGGTGAGGGAGGGAGGGATGGCGGGAGCGGGGGGCTGGGGTGAAGGAGAGGAAGGGGGGGGGGGGGGGGACAGGGCCTGGGTAACAGAAGGGAAAAAAGAGACACAGAGAGAGTCATCCAGAGAGGGGGAGGAGAGACAGATGGGAGAGACAGGGAGAGACAGAGGGGATGGGGGCGAGGGCAAGGTCTTCACAGAGAGGAGAGAGAGAGAGAGAGAGAGAGAGAGAGAGAGAGAGAGAGAGAGAGAGAATGGGGGAAATCTAGGGGACAGAGGACTGCAGGCGTAGAAGGAGCCAGGGGTGCCCAGAGGCAGAGGCCGATGGATGGAGCAGGGGCCTGGGCCAGACAGAGCCCCGAGGACCGAGACACAGGCGCCTAGAGCGAGGAGGCATCGGAAGGAAGGTGGAGGGAGAGGGGAGAGGGGCC